CATGACTACTTGTTTTTCGTGTGTTTGCCTCCCTTCCATCATCTAATCCATAACCCCATTCCGCCAATTCGTATCATGTCTCTTAAGTGCAGCATCGAGCCGCCCAACCAGAAGGGGAGACGTGAAGTCCGAACATCGAAATGGGTAGAAAAGGTGTAAGCGAGGCCTTGAGAAAATTGCGAACCAGTTTAGAAGCCTTTCCTCCCATATACCCATGGGGGAGACTTGAAAACTCTTGGGAGACAAACCCTCCCTGATGACAAAGAAATGGCCTCAGAATATTGAGGCAACTGAAAGAAGAAAGAAGTTGGTATCATCCTTTATCCTCCAACGCCGACCGGAAATGCCGTTCCGGTTATATGCCTGGGTCATCAAGAAAGAAAGAAAGAAAGAAAAAGACCCTGCCCCGTCCTGTCCACCTGGGGCAATGCTCAGAAATTCGAAATGTCGACCGTGATACTCCTGTTCATGACCCTTTGTCCAATTCCCGTTGCCGTTGATGCCGGAAAGTTGAAGAGAACGTGATGCCTGTAACCGAATGTATGTACTGTATGACTTTGGCGATACCGAAAAGAGAGCCCAAACTCCAAGAGAGTGGTATGGTAATGCTGGGTATTGTTGAAGAATAGCAATGAAAGAAAAGAAAGAAAGGAATTGTCGAACTAGAAAAAGTCGAATCATGTTGCGCATGGCCCAGTAGACGATGTGTGTCCCTCAGAATGCTTGCGCGACGTGGGTCTCCAACAGCTTAGTTGCCCTGGCCGAAGTTCCAAGAGTCTCTACCTCTGACATGACGGCCGTGGAGGAAGGGGGTGACGCTAGCCTCAGCAGACTGTTGACCGCTGGTGGGAGTCGGAGCGGGAGTCTGGGCATTGAGAGTGACAGTAAGGAACGAGTACAGAGTCATAGCAGGAGCAGAGACAGTGAGCACTCGAGCCTTGTTGGTGCCCTGGGCGACTCCAGAAGGAACGGTGGGAGTCGGAGTGCGAGTAGCGGCCGGAGTGCTGCTGTGAGTACCATTGCTGGGGGCTGAGTTGACAGGGGCAGCCTGGCCGTCGACGCTGACCTGGAAGGGGTTGGCAAGCTGGTCCTTGATAGCGTTGAAGTTGTAATCCGTCTCCTCGAGGAACGTGAAGGCAGACAGAGCGTTGGTAGCCTTGTTGGAGTTCGAGGAAGCCTTGGCACCGGGCACAAGCTTCTCACCCTGAACCTTGATAACAGAGCAGCTAGAATAGAGCTCAGGCGTCTCGATATCCTCAGAGGTAGCAGCGCGCTTGTCGTCCGTAAAGCCGACAGGGAAGTCGGCAAACTGGCCGTTCGTGGACTCAGCGACGACACCCGGCTTGAGAGTAGGCCAAGTCCAGACCCAGTAGATGGAGTACTCTGAGTTCTGGGCCAGATCCTCAGGGAGCTGGAAGGCCGTCTGGCACCAAATGTTGACGCCCATGGGTTGAAGAGCTTCATGCACAGCGGCACCCTGACGCTCCTGTGAGATGGGCGAATCGTTGACCTGGTAACACTGGCCATCGTCGTAGTTGCGAGTTGCCAGGAGGCGACCAGTGCCATCGCCACCCTTGCCGTCAGCAGTCCACTGGCGGTGAATGTCGAAGACGCTAGGGTTAGACTTGGGCTGGGCGGTGCCGTAGATGAAGACAGTGCCGCGGTTGAGGGGCTTGTTCTCGGGGGTGGTCGGCTTAGTGACATGGCCGTTCTCCTGGTAGCGAAGAGAAACGAAGTCGCCAGGAGCAGCAGTCAAGGACGGGAACTCTGCAGGCTGGCTACCGGGCATGGACTTCTCGCAGAGATTGAAGCCCTTTCCGGGAATGCGCATTGTGTACCGCTCGTCGTCAAAGCCGTTGAGACGACCAGCCCAGCCATTGGAAAAGCCATCAGGACCAACGAGAGTACCGTTGGCAGCGACGCGGTTGAGCTGCTCGACCCAGGTGTGAGACTCGACCATAGGGACACCGATGATGGCGGCGACAGCCATGGCGAAGGAGTTGACGCGAACCATGGTGAATTCTTGGGATATGATTGCGAAGAGGAAGGAGTGAATATTCTTGTGAATGGGATACTCAAGTGATGAAGCTTTTGATACTCGCGGAGCGCAAAAGTAGGGAAGAATTGGATGGACTCGTGAGCGATTCCAAAGGGAAAGTGAATAGTGGTGAGGAATTTGACGAAATCAAAGAAGGATCGAGTGTGTGTCTGGATGAAAAAGATCAGTTAGGGTTTGCGTATGTATGAGCTGGAAGAAGGACGGGAGGAGAACAAACCAGGTGGGGCGGGCTGAGATATCGTTTGGCAGGAAGGAGCGCAGAGTTTTCGAGTCTTCCAGAAGAGTCGAAGTTGTAGTAATGTTATGACTGATGTGAAAGTTTGAGATCGATGACTGGGCCGCCTCGAGGTTGTTTTTATGTACGCGGATTCTTGGATTCTCGGTGAATCAGGTTGTTGACTGGCGTGGCAGGACTGAACGAGACCAAGAAGTTTGTTTGTTTACACACGTAAATTTGTATTCACAATTAAAGACGTCCGGCGCAGTCAGATACCAGCTGAGTCAAGAATAGAAGGCGAAAGAAAAAGAAGAATAACAAGGCCTTGTCGTGCTACATGCGGCGATGGTCGAGGTCAAAGATTGAATCTCGGGTAAAGTGGGGCGGTGTTGTAAGCTGTGAGGTTGTTGAAAAGGCGAGGAAGGATCGAACAGTCGACTCGGTCCGGGAGGAAGGAACAATAAAACGAATAAAGGAAGGTGCCTGCCTGCCTCAAGCGCGTACAATGAAATCCACGGAAATTAGGGTGGTCTGAGAATGGGCCTCAAGGGAAGAAGGGAAACAATGCGATTGTTTCCACGTTCTTTTGCGAATCCCGAGGAGGAAGGGCGTTTGGTGGATGAGGAGGTGAGGTGAGGTGAAGACCACAAGGCCATTTCGGGATGAGAGGCCGGGCTGGTTTAATATCACGTCTGTCTGTCACCCATGGGCCATGTCTGCCGCCTTCCATGGCCTGGATATCCCTACACGCATCTAGACTCATGCTTTCCCTTCTGGCTGCTCAACCCGTGGACGAGGGTCGTGATCGACGCAGGATGGGTACCCGAATGACAGGCAAACACCCATGCGGCGCATCGTGGGAGTCGCGATCTAAAACGATAACGGTGGAGGACGGGATGGGCACTCGGACAGGGGGATTCTGGGCATCTGGCCAAAGAGCGAACGATACCGGTCGTGTGCCGGGGCCGGCCATAGGGTCGGATGGGGCCTGGTATGGGACGAAGAAGAGCGCATGTTTCTGATGCGAGGTACTGGGCGCCAGTCAAGCACGATGCGCCAAAGTAGCCAAGGTTGATGTTTGACAAGGAACGGCGGAGGTTGAAGTGGACTTCTTGGCGCACAGGTCTCAAGGTTGAAGGCAAGGCAAGGTAGTCACGGTAGTCACGACAAGGCATGTAGTGTGTATGACATCCGCATCAAGGTCGGGGAGACGTCGGGTCGGGCGGTGGGCACTTAACGGGAGATGGTCTGCACTAACCTGCACGCGAGCGGGGCTCTCTAGGTACCTACGGGCAGGTACCTTTGGAAGTTTGGGGCAATAAGTACCAGTCGTCGCTGCTCTCCCGCTGTAAGGTACCGACGCTCGTGGGGTTGCACCGATCTTGGTTTAGGCGCCACGGTCCATGTAGCCAGGGATGGGGAGCGAACGACGAAACATGTATCTCTGCAGGCCAAAACGTATGGCCGAGAGACTTTGGACCCCATGCTTCACAGCAAAATCTGGAACAAGGGGCTCGCACTCCTCTTGCAGAGAGTCCAGAAGGTCCTGACCGTCCTGCGAGTCGCGATGCACCTCATCCAGTCAACCAGGCCCATGCGACCCCTGCCCGAAGTAAGCGAGCTCCAGACGCAAGGGTCCACCACCACTTTGACTGGCAGCTAGCACCTCTGCCGCTCTGCAACTTACGGCGCCTACCAAAATTGGCACCCAGACCACCACTTGCTTCTCTCTGCTTGTTCCACCTTCAACGCGCCGAGGCCATTCCCGTCGACCATTTTCTCTTTTTTCCTTGCTTATTTCGCGTGTCGTCCACGAATACATGGCTGGCCACCGTAAGATTGGCTCAGCCTCTTTTCTCCTTTCCTGTTTGGCCTTGCCGCGCCGCCGCCGGACACAAGGGCCTGGTAATCTACTCGATTGGCCACCGTTGGCGCAGACTGCCGCCAGACGGTCGACGAAGATGGATCCAGGAATGGAACAGGCAAGGAAGTGAACAAAAAAAGAAGCCAAGTTCCCACTGCCGTCTGTCCACGCAACTAAACTGACCAGTGTTCCATGGCAGCTTACTTGATGCCAAATCAGAAATGCAAATGCTTCGCAAAATGTACTCCTTGCGCCAAGCACCCTGGTCTCTTTTGCCGCGGACGGAGTCGCGAATATACAAGATTCCAACCCACCTTGGAGCACCGACCTACTCCAAAATCCCACATCAGGGATCTTAATGAGCGGTGGCAATAGCCAACAGTTATGGGCATCGGACACCACGACCCGGGTCACCACCTTTCATTCCAGACGGACCGAAGTCTAGGCAAGCGCAATGGACCGCCGTCTACGGATGTCAGGGAAGCATAAGCTTGGACGTCTGGACGGCGTCTAGAAGAGCAAAATGCAACGAGACTCGAAACACGGACCAGTGGCCCCTACGGAGTACACAGCACGCAGCACGCGATGAACAACGAATACCTGACTGGGCCTTCGTTTCCAGTCTTTTGCTCCGTTTTCTCTGTTCGTGGCTCGGTTTGCCACGTCTCTTCTTTGCTCTGGCAATCGGTGTTCGGGTTAACCGTCATAGTAGACGAAGACTAACAGCAAGCAAGAGTCGGCGACCGCACAGAAGTTGGAAAGTAAGAGTTGTTCATGGTATTCCCAGTCCTGCTTTCTCATCCGCTTAGACCACCCCCATCTCAATTGTCGAGAGATTGTCACCTACGCCTCCGAGCTCAATGCCCCGGAGCCGTCAATCTGCAAGCCAAACCCCGGCATATCAACAATTGGATCCTCCTCGCTGGTGGGAATTCAGAAATCGTCTTGTCTCATCGTCTGTGCGCATCCCGGTCCTTTCTTTTTCTGCTCCACCGCTAGCAGCCCGCCGCGGGCGCGAGATCTCGGCGAACGGCTTCAGTCCAGTCCAATCGTGGCTGAGTATGCTGAGGCTCAACTTGACAGCGCTTGCTCAACCGCCGAGATTCTTGTCACGCAATTGATGAATCTTTCGACTTCAACTCTTCCTCAAGACGGCAGCTCGAACGGGCGATTATCTCGAAAACTCACCAGACTTACCAACCCCCTATTTCCCGTCTTTTGCCACTGTTCGCGATATCACACACCTCGGTCACCAACGTTCAGACATGCAGCGTTTCACCTGCGCCTGCCGTCCACGTTGTTCAGACCATGCACCCGCAAACCCTCGTCCGTCCCATCCTAAGAAAAGAAGAACCCCTGCGAACATCCTCCGCTCTTTTTTCTTACTGATCGCCCTCATCCTCTCTCTCTCTCTCTCGCTCCATCTCCTGGTTCTGAGCACTCACATTTTTCGCACGATGCGATGGGTAGGTCTCCACGTGCACACCTCCACTCGCTTCTCCTGCTCCGCAATCTCGTTCTCTTGCTTGGAATGAAACATCAAACTCCCACGTTCCACTCGCGCTACTGAATCCTCCTGGCGAGGCCGGGGAAGGGGGAGTTATTATTATTACCGCAACGTCCGGGCGGCACTGGTGACGAGGACAGGGACGATGTTGACGACGACTACGACTACGAACCCGCACCGAGAGCTCCGTCGAGTTTGCGACAAAAGGCAAACCGAAGAAACGGAGGAACCACAATTTGGCAGCGTCTCACAAAACATAAGTCTTGGCAACAGAGGATCATCTGATCTTTTAAGCTTCCATCACCTCAAACGCTGATGAAAAAAGAAAAAAAAAAGAAGAGGAAGAGAATACCCACCACAGGTGACCCCCCCCCCCCCCTCGACGAACACCAGGCAGGCAAGCAAGCAGGCAGGCTTGCCACTTTTCTTGAGCGTTTCATCTCATCACTCCAGCGAAGCTCTCTGAACCACTCGCTCGTCCCAACACCAGCGTTTGGCGGGCATGAAGGATGACAGGAGAAACAATACGTCTCTTGTCGGACCAATGTAACCGTGATGTGGGAACCGAAGCACTTTTTGTTTTCATATTCTGCCGAGGGGACCAAGTGAGAGTAACAAGTTCCATTTCTTTCTCCTTACTAAAAACTCTGGTAATAACAAGACGTGATTATTGGTATCAAAAGTTGCTGTTCTTTCTAGCATATTGCAACATGTTTTTTTCTCTGCCCCTATTCCATTCAAGAGGAGCCTTTATAGGCGTTTCACACATGAGTCGGCCGTCAATCATTCCATCCCACCCTAAAGTCAAGAACATAAACTCCCGCGCAAAAGTACACTATCCCTTTTTTTCACCTCTGCTCAGATGCCGCTGCATGCGAGATTACTCCTCTCCAGTTTTGCGACATACGCGCAAGCAAGCAGGGCACACATCTCCCGGAAACATGCTGTATTCCCCTTTCCCTTTCCCGTCTGTACAGCTCGGCCGAGTGTGAAGTTTCACTCCCAGTTCCGGTGTCCGTGACCACCAGCCTCGTCCATCACAGCTGCCGGCGCTCGATGGTGCACCAGCTTCTGGATCGATGATGCGGGGTAGTTCTCCCTGTTCTCCATGTCGAGGCTGTTGGAGCGCGCCCTCTTCCTGCTGCCCGTCAACGACTTGAGCGGGGTGAGTTGATCCAGCGAGGGCAGTCCGCTGCTGCGCTGTTGGTCGACTGGTGACCATCCGGATCTGCCGTCTGTGCCGGCCACGGCAGCGACTGCCGAGACGGCCTGGGCCCATGGCTGCTGGTTCCATGTATGGTGGTCCTTGCTCTCGGCCCAGAGGTTGGAGTTGGCCGCCGCGCTGCGGTGGTTCTCGTTCTGCCACTGCTGCGTCTTTGGGTCCGACGCCGCCTCGCTCCAGCCGTTCCACTGGTGGAGGCCATGGAAGGACGAAGTCGTCGTGTCCCAGTCGTGGATGCCCTCGACCTCGCCCTCGTCGTAGACGCCGACAGGTACACCGCTTGAAACTTGAATGCCTGCAGTCGCCGAGAGGTACGGGTCGGGAGCAGCAGATGACATGTCGGCGACGATGGCCTGGTTGTCCATGGAGCTAGTGCAGGCCGCGGCGGTAAAGAGGTCAAGCTGGTGGTGATGGTGGTGCGGCCCGCCGGCCAGCTCATGACTGCCATCGTAGCTACTTGCGTACGACGAGTTGAGAGAGGCACTTGGTGGAGGCGTTGCGAGTCCATGTGAGTAGGGTTCCATGAGCCCAAGTGTTCCGGTGGATGCCAGGCTTGGTAGCTGGCCAGGCATGGTGACGGACTCCCAGGCATTGCTCATGTTGTCGTTCATGACGGCAGCGAGGTGATGAGAGTAGGGGGGTGTCGGTGCCATGAGCATCTCCCGGCCCGGGCCAGATGCCGGGTTGACGCAGACATTCTGCTGATGCGCCGAGGAGACGGGGTCCAGAGCCGTGAGGAAGCGCCAGGTCGTGCCGGGAGGGTTGAAGACGCGCTTTGAGCGGCTTCCCCGTCGGGATGATGAGCTCTGGTCTTCGCCGTCCTCCTCGGCGGGCTTCCTGCCCTTCTGCGGCGCAGGCTTCTCAAAGATGGGGTTCCACTTGTCGTCAAAGGCATGGATCGTGCGGAACTTCCAGAGAATGATACCGCGACGCACCCAGTTGCGGCGGTCAGAGTTGTCGGGCGGGGCAGACCACAGCTCCTGGAACATGCCGACCTGCTGGATCAGCTCTGCCGTGGTACGCTCGGCCTCGAGGGCGGCGTCTTCCGTGGCCTTGGCTCTCTCTTCATCGTCCTCGATTTTGTTCTTGTTGTCGACGGGCTCGAGGTAGCCGGCGCACGTGCTCAGGATGCTAGCCCACTCGGCCGCGGGGAAGGGCACGCGGACGTCCTGTCTGGGACGGCTGCGGCAGTCGCACTCGAACTTGCTCTCCTGGCATCCGGGACGGTGCGTGTACTGCACGCCGACCTCGCTCGTTTGCTCAATGATGCAGGGCTCGTTCTCGGCTCGGCGGAGCTCCTCGGGCCGCGCCAGCTTGGTGACGCACTTCCAGCGATGGTTCTGGAGTGCGGGCTGGGAAATGCTCAGCTCAACGAAGCCGTTGAGCTCAGATCCGGCGGGGAAGTTGCTGCGGGGATGAATTTCGAGCGTGACGGTCATCTCCAAGATGTCAAGCCACTTGTTGTCCTGGATGGCGTGCTCGAGTGACTTGTGCAAGGGAGGGAACTTGGCCTCCCATTCCTGAGACATCTCAGTGACAGCTGCGGATTCCTTCTGTGCCAATTCGCGGTTGTACTCGTGCAGGAGAACGCTGCCGTTGAGGCCTCTGGAAAGACCGTCTTCCTTGTGCATGTTCTTCTCCAAGTGGGGGTAGTAGTCAGGGTCGAGAGGCTTGCCGTGTTGGTCGTAGGCGTCTCCGTTTTCTTCCATCCTGACGTTGGAGGAAGCGACAAAGATCCAAGCAGTCTTGGGCCTCATGACGACAAGGGAGTCCATGGCAAGAATCTGGGCAAAGTACTCGTAATTGGGGCGCACGTCTGGAAGACGACCCTCGGCGAGGGCGACCAGGACTGGGTTGTCCTTGAAGGAGGCAATCTCCATGTTGTCCTTGAGACGGGCCTCGCTTTTGTCAGGGTCCTTGACGAAAAAGAAGTGGTCTGAATTGTGTTAGCTCAAGTCTCTAAAGCAGACGGACAACCCGAACTTACAGCATCGGTGCTTCTCAAACATCTTCTTAACCACTTGAATGTGGCTGGAGACTTGCTTTCTCTTTCTTTCCTCTGCCTTTTGTCCTGGCTGCAAGCTGCAGCAGTACGCGATCCACAGGTACTCGCTGATGAGCATGTTACGCCCAAACTGCTTGCCCTGCATGCTGTACTTCTTTCTACCCATATGCGGGATAATGAGCAGCGCTAAGATGCCATGTCAGAAGGGACTTCAAGCTGCTCAAGTGAATGTGACTTACAGTCAAGGAAGGCATCTTCCAATACACGAGGCCAGATCTGCTTCTCGTTGGGATCCTTTTGGTCTTGCTTGTCCCGGTAAGGCCGGAACTCGGGGGCATAGTAGATGGGGTTGATGTCATGTCGTGCCCTTCTGGCCATGTGGAGAGCATCAGGCCTTCTCAGGCTATTGCTGCTCCTGTAGGTAGAGCCAGCCTGGGATGGTACGATAGGTGGAGTGGGTATGCTCGTCAGGCTCGGTGAGAAGAGCCCAAGTGGGCTATTACGGCACGACGATGCGAGGCTTCCCAAGTGAGAGCCGGCGGACTGGACATTGCCCGTCGACTCCCTCAACGGCTGCCGCCCAGTCGGTGTGCATCGTCTGCTATCGTAGCTGTAGACTGGGGAAGGGGAGTAGCGTTGAGAGGGAAGCACAGGGCGCGGGTGCTCCATCATCATCAGGTCTGCTTCCTCTGGAAGCAATCTTCTTTCCTTTGTGTTTCTGGAGATAGTCCTTGCGGAGGACTGGTATGGGACTGGTTGATGCGTCGACCTTGGTCCGTTCTTTCTCTCTACCCCACGAGGAGAGTAGAGACTTCAACTGGATTGTAAAAGGATTCCTTGACAAGCACGGAACCCCTGAGTGAAAGAATGGAAGATAGCTGAGAGGCAAAAGACGTAGGTGAAAGGAATGACTCTTCAGGAATTCCGTGACGGGGCGGGCATGGGTTTTGTTGCTAAGTGAAGGAGTGCAAAAGGGCGCTTGTTCTCCGTGTGATATGCTCCGGGATCAAGATTCCTCGTGGTATGTCCTCGGGAGAAGGGCTGAGAGAGCGGGAGAGGAATGATGGCGAAGTGAGTGTAAAAGATGGTGTTTTCCGATTAGGAAACAAACAGCAAAGTAAAATGAGCGTGTGTCTGAATTCCGCAGCTCGAGAAACTGGTTTGAGAAAGGCGGGCGAGCCACACGTGCCTTTCCTATGCTTGAGTGTTTGGATCAAGCAAAAGAAAAGTAAGGATGTTGGAAGATGGAGAGAAGGCTTGGGGAGAAGTTGAAAGGAATGACACTGGCATGGGACGTACGTCAATATAAGTTCCTGAAGCCAGGTACACCCGCTCCAAAGTCTGAAAAGAGAGGAGGCGAGGGAAGGTTCAATATCGTTCGACAGAC